TGCAGATAGAAGTTAGCATGCGAGCACCATTGGTCGAAGGAAAGGTGCGTGCATTGTACACACCCTGGATCATAGGCACTGAGCTCAACAGGACTCAAGGTGCGTAGAATGTAAACACCCTTTAATGCCTCGGTAGGCATGGCCTCGGCCAAGGGCGGTGTTTGCATTCAACGCACCTAGAGTCCTGTTGAGCTCAGTGCCTAGATCCAGGGGTGTACAATGCACGCACCCTTTTCCCTTTGACCAATGGTGTTCACATGCTAACTTCTATCTGCAAAAGGTGCTCAATGGGGTATACGCCTTTGGCGTGTAGAATCAAGGCGCCTTAAGGCAGTTCCATTTCTGTGGCATACGCCTAAGGCGTATAGTTTCTAGACACCCTGGATTTGGAGTGTGGGCGGTGCGATGGCGGTGCACGTCATGCCCGCGTCCGCGTTACCAGGATGCCTTGCAGTGTCAAGGGCGATAAAGGTGGAGAGGCGAGAGTTCCACTGCCCCCCTTTGGTCCCAAAGAGAGCCCGCCTGAAGGTAAGCAAAAGACGTAACACTTTAACAGTGGGCCAAAAGACCGGTGGATGGGGTCAAAGTCCTGGATGCGTTTTGAGCTCCAGAGTCGCTAAATAGGACTCGAACCGAACGTGTGATCCTACCAATGGATTCCTCGTTCGGAGAGCAATCCATTGGTGGGGTCACACGTTCGGTTCAAGTCCTGGTTAGCGACTATGGAGCTCAAACCGCGTCGAAAGTTTCGATGCCCACTGGCCCACTGCGGGCTGGCCCAGGATAGCCGGGCAAGCGTTTTCATCGCGTGCGGCCGTGCCGGGCCGTGCCGGGCCGTGGCGCCTCTCCGCCGCGCCGGGTGGATAGTGTTCCTCTGGAACCTACACGATCCTCACCTTGGAGCGAAAGGCGCAGTAATTAGCAGGGAGATGCTAATTAAAGGCCCCGGACAAAATGAGCGAGAGGCTCGACGGAGAAGCTCGACTGCCGAGAAAAAAGTCTTTAAATATGGACGCCTAAATTCAAAATTAGAATTTTTGTTGTAGTCTGTTCAACGCGGAAAGTTTGCTACTTTAATGACGATGGTCAAGGCGAACCCAGGCAAATAAGATTTTCAATGATGACTCCCATCTGGATTTTGTCAGGTGTCCCCCAGCGGTTCGTGTGGGCGGCATGCGGGCGGGCCGGCGCCGGGAGTCGAACCCGGGTAACTGATCGCGCCGCCTGCCAGCCCTGACTGACTGACTGAGTGGCCGAGTCCGGGCCGGCCGGGCTGGCAGCAACGGGGTGGCTAACGGAGTGGCAAACGGAGTGGCTTGTGGTGAAGTGGCCAGCTAATGGCATGCCGCGTTGAGCCGGCCCGACAACGGACAGTCACTCACCGACGCCACGGCGATGCTCGTCCACGCCTCTGGGACTACAGTGCCCCCGTCGCTCCGTCTCTCTCGCACCCCTACGCCACGCCCCGTGCGTGCGAGAGAGACGGAGCGATGCAACCACTGTTGTTCGCCAATCGCCATCAGCCTGCAGCAGGGCCGCGCGCCTCAGGTGGGTTGCCCACTGCCCGGCAGACTGATGCCGCCAGTAGGGCGACCTCTCTCTTTCTCCCTCTCTCCCTCCCTCCCTCTCTCTCTCTCTCTCTCTCTCTCTCTCTCTCTCTCTCTCTCTCTCTCTCTCTCTCTCTCTCGCACTCATGGGGAGTCGCGTAGGGGTTCGAGAGAGACAGACAATCGGTCACCGCTCCACTGCGAGAGGGGCGGCGGAGAGCCCCCGATGTCTCGTTTGGCAGTGCAGGGCAGGCGGGCATGTGCACTGCAATGCCAGTGGTAAGTTTACTTGCAACTAATTTGGCAAGCCGTTTTGAATGCCAAAAATTGGCAAGCTTGGCCCCGAATCCCCCGCTTGCCAAAACTTGGCAAGCTTTTGAAGAGGAAGAGTGCCCACCAAAGCTTGCCAAATTTTGGCATTCAA